CAAATTGTCTGAAAGAGACACATTATGTTGGCTCGGATTTAATCCATCATACTGCATACTTTCATCATTATGTCTCATTATCTCACCTGTAAGTCTGTTCTAATTTTACGGTTGCAGTGTAATTCTGATTATTAATCTCTTATGTTCTATACATGGGTTCAAACCTCTTAGTGATTTAATATCATCCACTGTCTTGAAATAACATCAGCAACTTCTCTATTTAGAGAAATATATAAAATAATTATAATAAAATATTGTTAGTAACTTAATAATTAGAAAAATAAAAAGATGATATAAAATTAAAAAATTATATAAGTAGAATAAAGTAAATTACCTATCTCCATCTTTACAAATTCTTCTATAAGCTCATCTACACCATTGGAAAAAAGAGTGGACCTGAATCAATTTTGTGAACAAATTACTGCTTCAACTGTCTTTTGATAAGAGAACTCCTGTAGTTGTTAAGAACTATGCCCATAAAGCTGAATACAGATTTTGAGAACGGTGGTATAGCCAATACATCTTTAGCTATTAGACCAAGAGTTGGATATTTGCTAGAATTCACCTTCCATAATTCAAGACATCAAAATTTTGAATTCCTTTCTCTATTGGCTCCATAAGATACTCTAGGGTTCGAAGGGTTCGAAACTAAGGGAGTAACTGAATAAGGGTTATGGAAATAGGGAAAAGAGCATTAGCGAAATTTCAAAAATAATAAATACATAATACATTGGATTGGATTAATTTTCACCAACCAAAGCAAAAACTGATCCAATTCAATTAAAATATGCGATTTTTTTCGGTTTTCAATTTTTCAATTTTCAATTAATTCGGCTTCTCCGGCAATACCCCGAGTTTAGGAACATGTATATCTTTAATTTTACGGACAAAATTCTTAAAAGGTGGGGTGAATGTAAGAACCTGCACCGTTCAATTAGGAATTTTAATAATTTAATTATAAGTTAAGGGAATAATTTCATAATTGACTTCGAATAAATATGGGAAAACTTAAATAATTATAGTAAGGGCTTAATAATGTTGAAAGTCGCTTTTCTGACGAAAAGTGCAGATACCGGTTCTGTTTCACAGTATAAATACATACCGATGAAGTATCCCGAAAAATTATAATAAGGGTATGAATATTCCTAGAATAATATTTAGGACTGGTATATCAAGTTTGGAGTCATAATAATGAGAATTGACGTCAGAATTGATACCGGCTACGTAAAAATGCGTACCGGCAACGTATTGCGAAAATTATAATAAAAATATGACAAATCCTAGAAAAATGGCTAGGTTCAGAATCTGAAGTTTGAGATTAAAATGATTAGTGGAGCTATTAGTTCTAATACAATGGGATTAAACTTAATAAGACTATAAATAGTGAAGTGAGAGCCATTTCCTTAGTTGTTGATGCTCCAAGAAGCTACCTTGTGAAGTAAAAGACCAAGCTTGATAGCCATTTTCGTGATCTTGAGAAGTCACAACCTTAGAGCTGCATTAGAAGCTCCAAGACCACCTCTTGTTTCTGTTTTGAGCCTTTAGGGGTATGTTCATCACCTTTGTTCATGAGTTTCTTTGCTAAAGATCAAGTTTTGACATGTTAAATGAGATGACTAAGTAACTAGTATGGACACTGGTCTAAATATGTCTAAAAATGAATTCTTGGATGTGTAGAAGTATTAAAAACAGAATCTTGGAGGGATATCTTCGCGAAATGAAGAAACTGCATTCTGTCGCGAAATATCCGGATATGATATCCAGATATTGATATCCGGAATGGGATTTGAGATATCCGGATATGGAAATCCAGATATGCCCTCGTGGAATATCTGGATATTCTGGGAAATTTCGTATGTTGACCTGTTCTGTCCGAACAGAAACTTGGATTGGGTTTCTGGACCATTGATTGGTTAGGATGGTCTTCTATAATAAGTTAACTAAGTCAGAATCACTTAGATTAAAGGCTTATGGCTTTGGGAGAAGCCTAAGAGCACAAAATGAAAAAGGAAACATTGTCGTAATGTAATGAACTCCTAGATGAATTATATTGATAATATTTATGGTCTAAACAGATTGTGATTGTGCTGTTTGGTGACCTTGGGCTGGTATGGACTCTTGTTTGGATTGTTAGCTTGAGAGGTAAGCTTTCGTGTCCTCAGTTTTGCCCATTGTTGGTTCCACCATGCCTCATGGAGGGATGGTTATATGCATGCTGTGTTTTTATGAAAATAAATGATGATTCTTGATATGCTATTGAGCTATTTTATTGAGTGCAAGTGTCATATGATATGTATGTGGTATACCACCTAGACGGTAACCCTGAGTATGTGGAGACATACAAGATGGTAACTCCGTGGGTGAGGTGCAAGCGGTGTTCCTTGTACTGTAGGTTGTAGACGTATGTAATCCCTACCTTTTAATTCTCTGGCCAGTAGGATGCATACACACATGACATGGATATATGCTGCATTGCACAAGTTTTGGAAATTATATTGTTATACTGTTTTGGAACTTATATTGCACATATAAGTGAGCTTGGGATGGAGAGATCCTTGATGACCCCTTGTCTTACTGAGATTTCTTTTTAGAGATCTCACCCCGTGTTAGGGCACATTTTCAGGTACAGGTACCTTGGGGGTTGATACCTCTAGCGGCAGGAGGCCGGAGTTGAGTTGATTATGCATGCTGCTTTACTGATATGCTTGGATGTTGATCATGTCTTATTTCAGTATATTGTTATTTGATTTGAGACATTATTGGCTATGTTGCCTTATTTGGTGAACATGAGGGTTGTCCATGCTACATTGATATCAGACATGTTTGCTTATACTTGAGTTGTATAATGTATCAGGATATGGTCTGGTCTACGTGTTGTAGTTCCGAGACTTGATACTATTTATGATATGAAGATATTCAGTGTAGTTATTATTGCAATTTACATACAGGCAATATTTTGAAAATGAATAAGTAATTCCACTTGGTAAATATGATAAGTATTCATAATTGAAAAGAAAAAGTTAGCTTCCGCATTTAATTAGGTGCGCCATTACTATTTGTATGTTAATACATTGGGTGCACACGGGGTGTATCTATCTAAACTAGTATTCCTATGACCATCTTTGAGATATACCAACACATTTTTCCTTTTACATTTGGTTGAAACATATACATTAAAATTTCAAGAAAATTAAAACAGAAAAACACATTTACATTTTTTTCCCTAATCATGAATAGTTATTAGACATACATGATTGTTCATGTACCAAATATTATAAAAAAAAACAATGCATTCTGACATACTAAAATTCAATAAGTAAATTTAGAGAAATATTTTCATATTTTTGTTGTATAATCAACATATGTATGCTATATTTTACTTTTATATATTGCTCTTTGTATTATTATAAAATATACACATATGTGTAAATCTAAGTTTAACCCAAATTAAGTTTCAATCTAACATCAAAATCTTATACTTCTCTATTTATCAGTTTAACAACCAATCTAATTAATTTTCAAAACATTAGTTAGATTAATGCAAGTTAGTACATGTTTATTTGAATTTATTTTTTCAAAAAAACATTTCTCAAAAAATTCCTAAAAATTATTGTTTTTAAATTAATTTATTCAAACCCTAATTAAGTTTACAAGGGAATGATAAAATTGTTCAAACAACCTAAATTTGCAAGTTTAGACCGAAAAGAAAAAGACAAGTCTGAAACTGTACTACAAGAAAAACCCAAAATATAACCCTATGTGAAACTCTCCCCTAATGATGGGGGAACTATATGAATGCAAAAAAAAATAAAAATAAAAATAAAAATTGTTGCATAACAACAAGAATCTGTGCATGATTCTTTAATCACATTATTAAATGATATTATTTCAATAAAACAAGTATAATGACAATCAATTTATAGAGTTTACATGCAAATGTTGGACTACACTTTTTCAAAAATCCAATATTATGTACAAACCATAAGACAAGGCCACACAGAAATGTTTCATGCTTTCTACTTTTCTATCAAAGAAACAAGCATATGATTGCATTAAAAGCTAGATATTCCTATAGCATTCCTTGTGATATTCATTCTCCAATGATCTTCTATATCACCACCTCTACTTCTTCTTCAATGGTAACATCAAGTTCCTCCATCTCTCACTTGTTATTTTCATCAAAACTGAACATGATTCACATTTTGGTCCATATCTTGAGCTACGAACCTCATATTTGGACATTCTTTATGATTATGGAAAGCTTAGGAGTGGCTCTACAACTTTTATGAGATGTCAAATCCTAATTATGTAGTTAAAGTACCAAAACTAAGCACACAATTTCTACAATGGTGTTGTCACGGATATCGGTATAGTCTCGGTAATATGGTTATAACTTGAGCATAACTCCATGGATTTAGATTTGATTTGTCTCTATGAAAAGCTTATAAGACTATCTACAACTGTCATGAAGATTTCAAGACTTGATTCTTGTTCTAAAGAACCTTAAATGAAGCATGAAAGTACTACAGAGATATTATTGCATAATCTGACCTAATTTCGGAGTTGTGGTTAGATATGAAGCTATGGATCTGATTTAGTCATTCTCTGGTGTTTTGCAAAGTAAATTGGGCTTGAAGTTAGTATAATGTTGTTGTCGTAGGATTTGGACAGGTTTCAGTCCTATACTCATCCAGAGTTATTAGGCTTGAAGACACTTAGAGCTTATTCATATTTTAAAGGACTCTAAACGGAGGTCAAAGTTATTGCAATATTGCTATTACGAGATTTGGTTCAATTTTGGTTAACATTTCCATAGGTTTAAGAGTAAACATCTTTTTTAGTCCCTAGAAATATTTACGAAGTCCTTTTCAGTCCCTGGCAATTAAAAAGGACAAAATTGATCCCTGAAATTACAAAAAAAGGGGCCACGTTAGTCCTTCCGTGAACTCTTCCGTCACGGTCAAACTAACGGTGCCCATGTGGCACGTTTGACACCTTGGATGACCAAACGACAACGTTTTGTGCAAAATGGGTTGAGAGATTTCCAAAGTAGGGCACGACGTCGTTATGTGATTGTTTGGAACTTGATGATTCGTGGGTTTTGCAAGTTGGGTAATTTGGAGAAGGGTTTGAAGCTTTTCAGACAGATGAAGGAACGGAGCGTGGTTTCTTGGAATCTCATGATTTCTTGCCTAGCGCATAGTAAGAAGGATGAGAAAGCTCTTGATCTTTTTCGTGAAATGTTGGAGCAGGGTTTTGAACCAGATGAGGCCTCATTGGTCACGGTGCTGCCTGTCTGTGCTCGCCTGGGAGCTTTGGATGTTGGGGAGTGGATCCACTCTTACGCAAATGCCGAGGGGTATAATGGAAAGGGTGAAGTTGGGGTTGACTTGTTTGAGGAGATGGTACGAGAAGGCTGTTGGGTATGGCTCATACTTCACATGATGATGTTGGCCCTAATTGTCGGGGTCAGCAGAAAGGCAACTGGGGTCCCGCTACTCTTATCTCTTTTTCTGTTTTCTCGATTCTGTGTGATTGTCGATTTCCAACAAAGGCACGACCCCTTCTGACTCCACTTTTGTAGAGGTTTTGGCATGTTGTGCTCATGCAGGTTTGGGGATAGAGGGCGCGAGCTGTTTGCTTCTATGACTATAAAGTTTCAGCTTTGTCCAAAACTGGAGCACTATGGCTGTGTTGTTGACCTACTTGGGCGTTGTGGGCATGTGAGGGAAGCTCGTGACTTGATTAGAAGCATGCCCATGAAGCCAACTGCTGCCTTATGGGGTGCACTGCTTAGTGCTTGTCGTACTTATGGTGACTTGATTAGAAGCAGATCACAATACTCCGAAGAACAATATTAGAATCAGAAGATGAAGTGTCAAGGGAAAACACTCAAGCGGAAGTTAACAGACTTGAACTAGATATGATCCAGCATTGTGGTGGAATTGCGCCAACTGCGTTAAATCTTGAAAACTTGGACATATAGATTGTTATGGAGAGGACTGAGGAGGCTAACCTTATTCTTTTAATTAGTTTATAACTTTATTTTTATACAGGAAGTCTTTTGTAACCTTTAGAAGATTGATATTACTTACTCCATTTTTTATTAGACTTTCTTTGTTGTTTACGTTTGAGTTAGGCTTTGTGGGTGGTGATGATGTTCATATTGTAATTTTTTTTGTAACTGATACTTTTAGACATATATGGGTATTGTACTTTTTTTGTAACTGATACTTCTAGACATATTTTGATTAGTCTGATATTGTATTTTGTTTCATGTGCATATAAGTGGCAAGAAACCATTAGCCCATGTTTGAGTTTATGCATTTCAATCTGTATGATGGTTTTGCTTCAGTTATAATCTGGAGAAAAAAAATTAAAAAGAAACTTTTAATTCATATATCTGTTTATATGTTCCAAAGAAAAAGATTGCTGCCAAGTTAAAAAAGTAATATTAATAAACAAAAAGCAGCTTCAAGAGAATGAAAGGCAACAAGAGTAAGTCTTATGTTCAATTTGATTAAGAAAATAAAAATAATTAAATCAAGTCCGGATAGAATATAGAACATTTGTTCCATATATAAAATCCTCACTTCCAAAGTACACATTTTTCCCAGCTTTTCTGAAAATTTATTTGCTAATGAAGTTCAACATTTGCATTCATATTGTGTTGAATCCTTCGTTTACATCCTCTTATAGTCTCATAATCTCTCAACTTTCTGCAGTGTGAAATTAGAACACGGAACTGTCTCATAATCTTCCATATGCAAACCATGGACACGTTATCTTGGGTGATCCTTCACCCGTTTTGTTTTATCCCATCAGTAGCACTGAGATTCGCTGTTTGGTTGATGTGCCTGGCCAAAAAATCACCAGAATAAGGTTAGCCTCCTCTCCTTAACAATCCTTATAAGGTTAGCTATAAATCCAAGAAACCACGTTCCGTTCCTTCATCTGTCGGAAAAGCTTCAAACCCTTCTCCAAATTACCCAACTTGCAAAACCCACGAATCATCAATTTCCAAACAATCACATCTCTCTCACGCATTTCATCGAACGCCTTGTTAGCATCCTCCATTCTCTCGCAACACACATACAACTCCACAATCCCAACACGAACGGAACCGTGGCGTGCGAACCCAAGTCTAATAACATGGGCATGAACACACTGGCCGAGTTTGTTGTCACGGAGATTGGAACTGGACTTGAGCAAAGGGGCGAAAGTGTACTCATCGAGGAAAATGCCGCGGTTCTTCATGAGGGAGAAGAGGTGAAAGGATTGGTCGAAGGGAATCACATAACGACGTCGTGCCCTACTTTGGAAATGTCTCAACCCATTTTTGGTCATCCAAGGTGTCAAACGTCCAAGTCCCGTCGTCACACTAACTTGCCACATAGGCACCGTTAGTTTGACCGTGACGGAGGAGTTCACAGAAGGACTAACGTGGCCTCTTTTTTTGTAATTTAAGGACCAATTTGGTCCTTTTTAATTTCCAGGGACTGAAAATGACTTCGTAGATATTGTCAGGGACTAAAAAGGGTGTTTACTCTAGGTTTAATGACTTAACTCCATGATATTGAAATGCGAAGTGATGGAAATATAGTACTAAGAAATTGACTTAACTCAATTTTGGTTAACATTTCCATAGGTTTAATGACTTACCATGATATTGGTGGCAATAGGGTATAATTGATGGTGTGTAATAAGAAATGATCACTATATATAGATCCTATGATGCACGAACAGTAACACGGGACACCGGACACGATACGACACGACACGACATGACATGCTGACAAGTTAATTCTAAAAAATGTCATATTTTGACACGTTAGGACACGTTTTGATATTAAATAAAAATTTTAATATATATAACATAATTTATATTTAATACATTTAAGAGTCCATAATAAGTCATATAACTAATCAAATATTTAAATTTCATAACATAAATATAAATAAAAATAATTTTTTGTACTTTGTTAATTTTTCATATCATATTTCGTAACAGAAAAAAATTAATTTATAAATTATTATTTTTTATTTAGTTAATAAAATAAAATTAAGATTTAAAAAAAAAAAACCTGTCTGAGCGTTGACCGCGTGTCGGAAAAGATTGACTGCGTGTCCAAAAAACGTATCGAAACGTGTCGGAGAGTTGACCGCGTGTCCCCAAATATTGACCACGTGTAGGACGCGCGTCGGAGCGTGTCCGTGTCAGACATGTGTCGATACGCAAAATTTTCAAAAATTGCCGTGTCCGTGGATTGGAGTGAAGATCCAAAGTTTAAGGAGGTAACAAAAGGTGTCGATCGAGACTTGAGATTTCATTTAATAACAACAACAATAATCATTTCTTTGATTAGCAGAAGGTCATTGATGTTCTCGCAAGAATGGTACACTGTGCAAGATTCAATGGACAATATTGGTGTTCTTTTTTGTTGGCTTCTGATATCTATGAATAAATAGTGTAGGCTATACAAGTCTAAACTATATATAATTTCAATTACTATTCCAAATTTAATTTATTATGCAACTATTTTATAAATATAATAGAGTAGTATTTGATACTTAAATTTTTTTAAGGAACGAGGCAGTATAAACCGGAGATAGGTGAATTGCTTAATTATTTATTCTAATGATATTTGATAAATGGTTTGAAAGATATTACGAAATTTATGATATATTTATATTCTTAGAATTGAACATTTGAAAGGCTTGTATAATTATTTGAATATTTAGAAAATATATAATGTTTATAATTATTGATGTTGCCACTGTATTGCTTATATAATATTTGACTTTATTTTGATGAAATTGAGAATCTCGTGGTAGAATATTTGAGAAGTTCTACAACATTGATGAAGTTATTTATAAAACTATTATTTACTTGTGATTGATTTTGAGAAGTGTACATATTACATTCTATGATTTTGAAATTGGTTTTAGGGTATGAAGTAATCAGAACACTGTATGTTAAAAGTAGTAGAAGTTAGCTTTGGTGCACTATGACTTATTTACAGGCAAGAAGCCTATTATTGATTTATTATAGGCAGGGAGACTATTATTGTTATGATTATATTTTCACGGGAAAAACCTGCTATTGTGATCACATTATATTTACAGGAGGGGACCCATGGTTGATATGTTGCAATTCTGTTTGAGTATACCACGACTTAAATATTGTATATTATTTTAGTAAAGTGTGGATTTCGAATTTATATACATATAACTAGTTTGGATTTTTCAAATTGTTTTCCATTCCAGCTCTGTCATTTGATTTTATAAGCATATTATTTGATAAAGTGTTACTTTGAAAATATTTGGTTTGTATTGAAAGTTTACTTTTCAACCTTGTAGTTTTGTTTCATTAGCATATTATTTTTATAAGATAATAATTTGTGTTATTTATATAAATTGATTTGACAGTTGAGAATTTCTCATATTTGTTATTTAAATTAAATATTATTTAATATGTTGTCACGCTCTGCTTGTCATAGATTCTATTGTTTACTCATTGAGTTGCATTGCAACTCACCATAATCTTATTTATATTTTTACAGGTATATTGATATAATTAACTTATAATTCTATTCTTTTGGTTTGATCGTGGGAGTCGGTCTGATTATCGGTGTTGAGCCTGACACATTGTGTAATACAAGGTATGTTTAGATGCTAACAAAGAGGCAACAATAAAAGGAGAATATCATTGATCAAAAGCAAAAAGCATCAACCATGTGTGGAGATTGAAGATACATGGTGACAAGAACATAGATGAGCTATAAAGAAAGCTAGCAATGAATTAAGAGCAAAATAGAAGAATAAGATTAGCAAAATCAAGATCAAAGGCTACGAGCCATGGACAACCTTGAAGAAAAGCTTAATCTCATAAGCCATGGTAAAAGATGATCAAATCCAAAAAAGCATCAAAATATTGCAAAGCCTACAAGTCAAACATTAGTTTCAAGTGAAGATTCAAGATCCAAGAGTCAACCCAATAAGCTAAGTTCTTGTTCCTATTAGATTATACTTTTAGGAATTAGATTCAATTGTAAGGAAATATGTAATACCCCATTTGCACCCAGTATTAACTTAATTATGGTATTAAGTGCAACAAAATTAATTAAGAAAATAATTTACTTTATCACTTACACTTACGACTTAGTCATTTATCTTCATATAAAAGCGTGAATTAACTTTTTCCTTTCCTATCATGATATTGAACTCAACTAATAGTGCCATAAGTCCTTCCACGGAAGAACAATCAAAAGAAACAGACTTTATCGTCATACTAAGTACTGAACAACGAATACTATTTCCAAAACTGGGATTACATATCTCCACCACCAATTCTAATATTTTAATATGTTAAAATAAACATTTTAAGGTTTCTAACAAGGTATAACATTAACAAGTTGGTTAAGCATAGCTGGAGTTACGCAACTCACAAGACGACTGCTTCAAATCAGACTTCTGAAAGTAGGGAAGCAACTTTAAAATAGTACTATGAATTATCCACAAATCCATAGGTCCTAATATTTTATAGGTTCATATATCTTTGAGTTAGCTTTACAGAGTTTCAAGTCTCACTCAATTTTGAACTCTCTACCTCAAGATATGTGTGTTTTGCTATGCTATGTCAAAATCATTGTATGTTGGCGCCTCCAACACCAACCTGGGGCTTGAGGCGCCCACATAGTGCTGGAAGCACCCACAAATCTTTGTTTATTGGCATTGGAAGAGCTAAAGACAATAATTCTCTACTTCTTGGCACTGTAGGCACCAACCCTAGTGCTGAAGGCGCTAAGAAATAGGGAATACACCAAAATTCTATGTTTAAAGTTCCAAATTGGGTCCTAAA